AAAATAAGAATTGTTTTGTTTTTGTTATCTTAGAATAAGACATTTTTATTTACAGAAGGAGCCGATCCTCTTCTTCTGAGTCCACCATGTTAATTTGTAATTAATGTTATGCAAGAGTTTTTTTTTGTGACGTTGGTAGTTAATTATTCCGTGTTTTGAACGACACTTGAGGTGGCCATAGTTACAGACCAGCTTTGTTCGTGTTGGCCACACCACTTGGAAAACTGTATTTTAGATGCTATTACTGTCCATTAAATTATATGCTAATTACCAGAGATAAACTAACTGCATTGTTTATGGTTATTCTCAAATTAGAATAATATAATATAATAATATTATAATAATTTTTTATGTTTGTTGTTGTTGTTGCCTATTACTTTTTTGCATAAGAAAAAGGTTGGGAGCCCTTGATTTTGGTCACTTAAGTGTCTGATCTTACAGAAGACCTTGAATCACCTTATACTGACTCCAAGGTTTGGAATCAGCAGAGCACAACAGCTGTCAAAGTCTGAATCAGGCTCTTTGTCATTAGTGACAGCTCTTCTTTCATGCAGGTAACATACAGTATACAAAAAGCTCAATGTACGGCCATTCAAGCTCTAATGGAGAAACAGCACTTCATGGATTTTTAGGGACTCGGACAAAAAGAACATACAAGACATAAACACTTTAAGACAACTTCATCACTTACTTATCAGTAGATAGTATGGAAAGGTAAAATACATGATTCTGCAGAAGCCAGCACACGATTTAAAGACCCGTTTTAGGAGGATTTTAAGCCCTTTCTATGCTGCCACTCATTTATCTACCCAGAGTACCAATGAGCACAGAGGTGTTCACTGACATCAAGGTAACATTTTCTACCTTCATCTATCTGTTTATGTATGTCATGTTGAAAAAATGTAGATCTGAGCTGTCCTACATGGGGTATGAAGAATTTCATATGACATACAGAAAATTTGGAAACACATTTCCATAGCACCACATATTTCAAAATCAAATTATCATTATCCTAAAATATTAAGCAGTGGATTTTGTAACTAACCTAAGAAGCGATGTCTCATTTTAAATATAATCAGTGCGTAAAAGTCTAATGGGCAACATGGGCGGCTGTGGTGCAGAGGCAGAGCGGGTCGTTCCCTAATCAAAAGGTTGTTGGTTCGGCTCCTGGTGCCACGTGTCGA